AAAAAGTCAGAAACACATCTATCTATCTATCTAGTAGATAGATAGAGATTTTGAAATATCTGGTAAAAAGTAAAAGTAATTCAACTCTTCAACACTAATACATTAATGTCATTCGTGCTTCTTAAAGGTGTTCTTTAAAGCTGGTCTTCTTGGCCAACTTGAAGAGATGAGAGATGACCGTTTATCCCTCATAATCACGGGAATCCAGGCTCGATCAAGAGGTCTGCTCGCAAGAGTGGAATTCCGGAAGATTTATGAAAGGAGGTCAGACAGACTTAAATATAAATAAACTGAAGGGAGCAAAAAAACTGTTATTGATCATAATGAGTTTGGTTGTACTAATGGTTGATCTTTGGCAGGGATGCACTTCTTGTGATCCAGTGGAACATACGTGCCTTCATGGGGGTTAAGAATTGGCCCTGGATGAAGCTTTTCTTCAAGATCAAACCTCTGCTGAGATCTGCTGAGGCAGAAAAGGAGATGGCCAACATGAAGGAAGAATTCCTAAAACTCAAAGAAGCTTATGCAAAATCTGAAGCTCGAAGAAAGGAACTAGAGGAAAAAATGGTGACTCTTCTCCAAGAGAAGAATGACCTGCAGCTCCAAGTTCAGGCTGTAAGTCTAATCACACTATTCCTTATACACTCAACCATGGATATTGTATCTTATACGCTAATGAATACCATCAAATATTAGGAGCAAGATAATCTTGCAGATGCCGAGGAAAGATGTGAGGGGCTGATCAAACACAAAATTCAGATGGAAGCAAAAGCCAAAGAGCTCTCTGAGAGGCTGGAGGATGAGGAGGAGATGAATGCAGAACTGACTGCTAAGAAGAGGAAGCTGGAGGACGAGTGCTCCGAGCTGAAGAAAGACATCGATGACTTAGAGTTAACTCTAGCTAAAGTGGAGAAAGAGAAGCATGCCACTGAGAACAAGGTACTTGACATTTCTATTTCTGACAACAAGGGTATGAAAAAGAGTCATGTGTCTAAGCTGTGCACAGAATTTGTAATACCATCATTTACCTGCAACAGGTCAAGAACCTTGTTGAAGAGATGGCTGCTTTAGATGAGATCATTGCCAAGCTGACCAAGGAAAAGAAAGCTTTACAGGAAGCTCATCAGCAAACTCTGGATGACCTGCAGAGTGAGGAAGACAAAGTCAACACTCTGACTAAGGCCAAGGCTAAGCTGGAGCAGCAAGTGGATGATGTAAGAATTATAATGAACGTATCCACTTTAACTTTTTGATTGGTGAACCATTTTCCTTTGTATTATGGAGACATTTGTTTGCTTCTTTCTAATAACATTCAGCTTGAGGGTTCTCTGGAACAAGAAAAGAAGATTAGGATGGATCTTGAAAGAGCAAAGCGAAAGCTGGAAGGAGACCTGAAACTGACCCAAGAGAGTCTCATGGACCTTGAGAATGACAAGCAACAACTTGAGGAGCATTTGAAAAAGTAAGCACATTCACATCCTAATAGTTCCAAACAGATTAAGTAAAGATATATAAGTAGTGCTATAAGTGGACCTTCCTTCTTCCCCACAGGAAGGACTTTGAGCTCAGCCAGCTTAATAATAAAATTGAAGATGAGCAGGCCATTGCCATTCAGCTTCAAAAGAAACTGAAAGAGCTTCAGGTAATGACTTACTAATATGTGATGCTATCAAAACTAGTTTAACACTTATTAGTGAGCCTTTAACAGTGATTTTGGCTGTGATCTAGGCGCGTATTGAGGAGCTGGAGGAAGAGCTCGAAGCAGAGAGAGCTGCTCGAGCCAAGGTGGAGAAGCAGAGAGCAGACCTGGCCAGAGAGCTGGAGGAGATCAGTGAGAGGTTGGAGGAGGCTGGAGGAGC